AATGTGGCCTAACAAGGGTTTTATAAAGCTGCAACATGTTTAGTCACACCCCAGGCGATGAAGGCAAGCATGCCATATGCCTTCTTAATCATTTTCAGGGAACTATGGACCTGTACGCCCAGATCCATTTGAATGTTAGAGCTCCCAAGGGTTCTGCCATTTACTATAAGGAACATGAAACTCTCATGAAAATGATAAGGCTGAAGCATTTGAAGCAATCTTCAGCCAGAAGTGCTAAGTGGATGATCCTGCTCAGCCTCTTCCTGTTGTCCCCAGCATCACAGATACTGGTCTTCATCAATAGAATCCCTACCGGCCCTTTGGCCCAACAAGTCCACACTGACCCACAGAGCATCCCACCCAGACCCATTGCCCTATAACCCACCTAATCTACACATCCCTGGACACTACGGGCAATTTAGCATGGCCAATCCACCCTAGCCTGCACATCTTTGGACTGTGGAAGGAAACCGGAGCACCCAGAGGAAACCCATGCAGACACAGGGAGAGTGTGCAAACTCCACACAGACAGTTGCCCAAGGGTTGAATTGAACCTGGGTCCCTGGCGCTGTAAGGCTAACCACTGTGGTGACCAGTGCTAACCACTGAGCCACCGTGCCAATTTGATTCATTCCTCGCACCACATCCACGAGAATCCACTGCCTCCACCACCAATGCTCAGTAGCTATCCACAAGGTGCACTGCAGAAATTCACCCAAGATCCTCAGACAGCACTTTCCAAACCTCTCATCCTTCTAAACTCCACAGAGCCAGAGTCCTCAACAGCTCCTCATATGGCAAGCCCTTCATCCCCGGATTCATTCTTGTACAATTCCTCTGAACTCCCTCCAATGCTAGCCCACCCCTTCTTAGGTACATAGCCCAAAACTGCTCACAATAGTCCAAATGTGGTCTGACCAGAACCTTATACAACCTCAGTATTACAGCCCTAATGTTGCATTCTAGCCCTGTCAAAATGAATGCTAGTGTTACACTTGCCATCCTAAATGCCACGTGAGCCCGCATGTTGACCTTAAGAGAAACCTGAACTACGACTCCCAAGTTCCTTTGTGCTTCAGATTTCCAAAGCCTCTCCCCACTTACGCCTTTATTCTTCCTATCAAAGTACATGAACCTCACACTTTCCCACATTGTATTCCATCTGCCATTTCTTTACCCACTTCCCTAGCTGGTCCTAGGCCACCTGGCTACGTCTGAGAGTGTAGTGAAGGCAGATTGAATTGTGACTTTCAATAGGAAACCACAATCATTACAAAAGAGAAATGGCTGGAGTATCGCAGGGAAAAGGCAATGATTGTGACTAGCTATGTTACTGTTGCTGTGACCTCGGACTGGGCCCAAACCATTCTGGGACAAAGCATTTGCTGCAATGACATTGAAACAACAAAGGGGAAAAGACGAGGATTGATATTTAAACTTGACTCAAGAAATGAATGGGCCTCTTCAGAAGCCAAACAAGAGAGATAGAAGTGGGAAGGTGAAAGTTAGCGAAATGGACAGCATTGAAAGGGCACATGGCAAATATTAAGAGGGAAAGAAAGTGTACAATGGTGAAATAAATAAAGCCCAAAAGGAAACATGGTTAACAGTGGCTGAGTGAGGAGCAATGCTGCCTTGAAATTATAAGGTGGTGAGTTCACAGTTTGCTCCTGAAAGCTCAATTGAAAGATTAGGTTGTCACCCAACAAGGCAGACCTGATGAGTTCTATCTTTCAGATGAGACATGACCTTAGGATCCTGTCTACTCTTCTAAGTCAACACGAAACTCTTGCTTGAATGTTTTCTCTAAAGTAACTTTGAACAATAATCCCCAGACATCATCTTCATATCTCCGTCCAGGACATACTGCCAAGTTTCTACAACAATCCAAAATGTTGGGGTAACATTTGTGGGATGGTTTGAGGTGGTAACAGATACGGTTATAAATGCCAATACTTTCTTTATGCTCGTGGCTGTGTCTTTTCCACAGGTGACAAAAGATGACACAAGTGAAACAGAGAGCAGAACACAAGGGTCCCTCTGATCCTGCCCCCACCTCTTCCAGATATGGGGTTCTACCAACGACTTACCCGGTTCAACAGCTTTGTTACACAGGCTGGAACTGCAACAGCTAGTGTGCACATAGTGGGATAGCAACCCACTATCAAACGAGATGAGGCCAAAGCAGCTTCCACAACCACTCACGAGATAATCAGTACGTTGTACACCTAACAGAATGGAGAACATTACGTTACACCATTACTTTCACTGTAACTAACTGATCCACTTCAATGCATTCTTTCAGTCCCTTGCTTTCATTCAGGGGAATCTCCGTAACGTCCTCCAGCCCCTACACCCCCTCCCTATCCCTGTAACGCCGTCCAGCCCCGACACCTTTCCCTATCTCTGTAACCCCCTCCAGCCCCTATACCCCTCCTTATCTCTGTAACCCCCTCCAGCCCCTACACCCCCTCCCTATCTCTGTAACCCCCTCCAGCCCCTACACCTCTCCCTATCTCTGTAACCTCCTCCAGCCCCTACACCCCCTCCCTATC